TGCCGCACCCATTTTCTGGAACACCGGGCCAACAATTTTAGAAAAAACAAGGAGATTTGAGAGATCGTGCCTAAGAACATGCCTCGGCCGATATAGAACAGCAGATTCAAACTGTTAATGCTCGTGGTGCTCCTTGTGAGCTTCGAGCTTTGTAGTAATTTGCACGTTAGTGTGCCGACTAAGACTCTATTTTGCTAACCGGGTGCTCCAACGATTAGCTTTCCGGGAGACCTCTGTATCCACTGACGACTCAAGATGGATCAGGGTGGATGGACAGATCAGGACTGACGAATAACCGTGTGGCATCCACGAGGTCACCTCGGTTATCCCTACCTTTACTTAACCTAGGGTGGGCGGCAAGGAATTACGGTCCAATCACTGCAATCCCAAATCAAGTGAGACTGCCCCAAAACGGTGGGCCGGAAGTTAGGAGGGAGAGTGGCAAAATAACTCCTGCTAGACCTCCCGCGCTGATGGGCCTACGTGCCCGAACAATGCCAGACCCAACCGTAGTTGACTGGACCGTACTCAAGGACCAGGAGACGTTATGACGGTGCCGCATGTGCCCGGGAACGGCCCGGGGCAGACCCATACCGTCCGGGTACCCAAGCACATGGCCCCTGCCATAAATCCTGGCCACTTGGCCGTAACACAAACTACACCAAAAGAATCAGCAATATTAAAATATACACAATAGCCGATATCCCAAGAATAGACTGCTTCAACTTAAAGCTCACTCGAAAGTACTTCAGCAGGATTGGCCACACCAAAAATCAAATATTAATAGACATAATGAAAACGGACGAAGAGACGACCCCTAACAAGTTAAGCTCAGGATACATACCCCCAGAGCTGTTCCTCTTTTGTGACCATAAAGGATTAATCCAGGACCAGCACAACCTACCCATAATCTACCATAAGATTAGACACTCCGCCAATAAGAAAATCAACCTAGACGACAACAAATACATACGTGACCAATCCAACTACTCAACAGCACTTTCTATCAAGGACAAAATGGACANTACGTGACCAATCCAACTACTCAACAACACTTTCTATCAAGGACAAAATGGACAGCGATAGACTAAACAAAGATTACTCCTGGCTAGCTAACGACGCCAGGCACATTGACGAACTACGCAGAAGAACCCGCAAAAAGTGATAAAATAGACTAAGTTCCGATAAAACAAAGGTCATTAGTTACCAGTGATTGTCATAAAACCCGTACACAATTACTACATAGCGCTAAATGCTTAACAGCAACATTAGTTTTAAGTTCCCTTGTAATTAGATCCTCCGAACCCTAACCCACCCATCCCAACTCCTCACCCCACACCTACTACCCTATTTATTTATTTATTTATTTTTTAAATAGCCTAAGTCATATTTAAGATAGATGGTAAAAGTTTTTCTAAGACTCTCCTTTTCTTTCACCAACAACTATCGATATAAGACTGATAACATTTAAATCTCTCGCCCTAAGAACGTGCCTAAATCATATTATATTATTACAGATAGCTATAGAGTTTATCCTAGTTGATAACTAATAGCTATAAATAAATTTTTATTATTAATGTTAACAGTATTTTTAAGTAGGATTATGCTGTGTATATTATGACTGTAACGNCCTATCAGCTCGGCAGCCACTGTATCTCTTATCCCCCGTTGTACGCGTCACGCGTGGCCCCGCGAAAGAGGCTTCCGTCTCGGTGTTGTTTACCGTCGGTGCACACGTACCCTGCGTAACGACGATAAAAAGTCCCGGGGAAGAACCTACGATCTTCCAGCGGCCGAGATAACAAAAGATTAAAAGACACGGCGTGACCCGGAGAGAGAGAGGGAGGGGGGGGGAGTGCCGTCGAGAGTCCTACGGTTCCGCATGCAGGAGAGGAGCAACGACAGATAACAAGCGATAAGGATCTCCCTCTCAACAGGCGAACCTGTCCGGGATCCGACTGCGGGATTACGGAAACTTTCCTCTGACCTATTTACCGATTGATGCTGCACGGACCGCGAACGCCGGGCTTTCCGGGCCGATTTCGAGAATGCTTTTTTACCGAGGGAACAATCTATCGTTCCGCCTTGGCTCCTTATAATTAGGCACCAGCCAGCCCCGAAAACTCCACTACGGATCCTCTAAAACCCTACCCCCTGCAGCTACGCCGTTGCTAACGACTCCTATGATCACAGGTACCGCACAGCACCCTGCGATCGGAGTTACCTAAGCGGAGTTGAGGTACACGATTATCTCTGTTGTGTTACGAGAGAAAGACGTTCTCTCCCGCGAGGAATCTTCTCCGTTCCCGTGACTCGAAAGTTCGACCAGGGGTTCACGGGACTACGGACACTTCCCGTGCAGATCGCACGGAGCGTTTTAGACGGGGGGGAAGAGAGAGAAAAGAAAAAAAGGTGACTCGGTCGAGCAGAGGTTTTTTTTTGTTGGGAGAACTGGTGGTGGTTCGGCCGATCGTCGCCGGGGTGTCTAATTCAATTAAAGGATCTTAGAAGGAAGGACTTACCGAAAGGACGCACGAACCACCTCTCGAGACTCCTTTGTATCCAGGGCAGTGAAAAATCCTCGTGACACCGAGATTACCGAGGTTTGCATACATCTAAGCACACACATCAAACACTGGCCCCGGGCACTGAACGAATCCTCGACGCACGCTCGCCACGTACTCTCGCGATCTGACCGGTAGATCGGTGAGAATCACACGAAAATCACATTGATAGCGTTCCGACCGTCAGCTTGCTTCGGTGATCGTAGACCAGCTGTGTTTTTGCCCGACCATTGAGGAACTGGTGCATGCGCGCCGCTGGTTCCCGACGCCATTTTAAACCTGCCCGAGGAGTAGGGAACACCGGAGGCGGGCGATTCGAAACGGTCGCGGGGCACGCTGGGAAACCGAGCCAGTGGCGGACAAAAAGTAATCTGATTAACGCGTTCGCTGCCGTGTCATCCGTGTGTATGTGTGTGTGTGTGTGTGTGTGGGTCACGGAAATATACACCGGCTAAGAATGCCAATGGGGCGTTCGTCTAGAATTAAATTAACGAATCAGTCCGCACTTTTTGTCTGGGTTCTACGACGACCCCGGCGTGTACCAGCTGTTTTTGTGGAAATCGTTATATAGCTGTCAGGGGTTGGAAATGAATTTTTCCGAGTGTATCGAATTTATTTAGGATCTCCAGATTGCAAGAATGTTGAAAGAGTATTCGGTGTCACACGTTGTAACGAATTATTTTTATTTTATGGTTCACTGTATATCAAGAGTTTCCTATTACAATAATAAATTGCATCGAAAAATTTATCTAACGGTATATGTATTTTTGGAATGTTCCTTCCTTTATTTCTTTGTAATTGTTGCAAAGGACTTAAACAAAGAGTTCTGTGATAAAATTCCATTTTTATCTTTGGCTTGGTGCCACTGTTCAGTGTGGTGTCATTGTCTCCAATTTATTGAAACAATTTTTGTTCGATAATGAAACTGTGAACTGTTAATATTTGTTACTAATTAGACTCTATCTCTGCAGATGTTTAGTCCAAACGTGACATCAGGGAGACTGGCGGATCTGGTGTATTCAGTGATAAAGCATAAATTATGAAGTCTGATAAAAACGTAAATGACCTAATTATGAATATGAATTAAGCTGTATTTGATTAAACAGCTGCGTTGCCATGTACTCGTATCCTATCCAGTCTCGGAAATATTGTATTTTTCATGACATTATTTCAATAAAATGTTGTCTTGTACACGCGTTCTAAGTAAAATAAGTTGAATTTCTCGAGAAAAATATAATAATAACGTTGCAAGGATTTTTATAGCAATGTTTGTTGTTAATTGAGGAACGATCTGCGTAAATTTTAAGTATAATGTACAATTGAAAGTTAAAAAAAAATTGGGCCTCTCCGGGATTTGAACCCGGGACCTCCTGCACCCAAAGCAGGAATCATACCCCTAGACCAAGAGGCCTCTTGTTAGGACTTTTAATAATTCCGGTCATCAATTCTATAAATAATTGAAACATTCTTGTAATCAACAGTTTGCAGTCGCGTATAAATAATAAATGAAAATCTAAATTAAACGAATGAAATTATATTTGAACGTTTCCGTCTTATCAATTGCAATATTATATTTCCAAATATTATCGCGTATTATATGTTATTTCAATATAGGGTGTACATTTGAAACTTTCGTTAATTATAAATGAACAATGATTTCAGACGAGAATAATAAAAAATAATTTTCATTGTCTCTGTTGGTAAGGACGATTACACCGATAAGAAATATCGTAAGATGGTTATATTACCGAATACGAAAAAATTATTAAATGTCACAGCACAAACGCGGTATAGGAATAGACTGACGTCATAAATGAGGTATACGTCTATGTTGACGATATGGGCATATAAGTGTATTTCGTTAGAGGGCGTGAGACAATCTCTGGTTTTTAGCAATATCGGTATTTCAGAACATGTGACATATAACGTCATATGGTGTCCAGTCTACTCTGATACCTCGTCTGTGCCACAAGGCTTAAGTATGGTTTGTGCGATGATATTCGTGGTTGATATGTCTTATTATTTAGGTTAGCTGTCTAATCGAAAAACTTAGCATTCAGCGAATTTTATCGGTGACATCAAGAAATGACGTCTTTCGTGGAATATTTTCAATCGTTGTCATGCATATGGTTCGAAATAGGCGATAAACGCAATATACTTGCGTCTATGCTGGCCGGAACATTGGTAAACATCGAAGTTTGCTTTGAATGTGACACTGACATTACATCACTTTATTCTTTTATTTGATTCTACGTAAAAGTTGTTGTTACTTCGCAACGTTTTCTTTCTAACATAATTTTTATTCAGTATTTGTTGTTACTTCATCGCAACGACAAATAATTTCGATCGAGTCGTAAATCTTTACGATTGAATTTTCATTCGAAACAAGTGTTGGACAGAATATTTTTTCTTATCCTAAAACTTCTATGTAATATTAGAATAGAGTGATGTAAAATATATCACCTGGCTAAACTTCCTTTTTATGATTTCAGTTCTTTGTAGGATGGTGGTTTATCATTGATGCGCATGCTAAATATCCAAATGAAATATCAAGCGCGTATCATCTTTGCGGAGTGTTCGGAACCCTTTCTCTTTTCATGTAAATCTATATTGCTGTTGCTTGTATATTTTAACAGGCTTCGATGTAATCATTCGTTCTGTAACTTAGGGTCAATTCTGTGACGAATGCGCAGATAAGAGGGGAAGGATTCAATGAAGGATTTTTAGGAAACACAGGTGCAAGAGGTTGGGTGTTTGTTGGATTTGTAATGGGATTCGCTGCAGTAATTGCAGCCTGCTGGATTTTGTTCGCAGATTTTGTTGCTGCAGGTTGATTATATTATTTCTGAATTATTTTTAATAACTATGACCATTAAATGCTACTAATTGTGTTATTTCAGATGCTAAACATCACTGGCCTGGCGTAGGCTTGTTCTTACAGAATGTATTTATCTTCCTGGGATCTCTGGCATATAAATTTGGAAGAGTCGAAGAAGTATAAAGATACTCAATATTTGTGCATTGCAAATATTTCTACCTTTTGCACAGAACCCTCCTGGTTTTAACAGACTTTTCCCGAAGGTACTTAAAACTATGGAGAAAATAATTATAAACACTACATTGTAAATGTCCTCTGTTTTAATTTATACAGGGTGTCCCAGTATTTACGGCGCGACCCGAAAGAGTGTGATTTTATGCGATAAACTAAGCCAAATATATACAATAAAATATGTTCATACAAGACCTTACTTTCGAGGAAATATCTGTTCAACAGCACGTATGCTTCCGAGACCATTTCAATTCGATTTTCTCGAGAATAAAGCCTTATATGAAAACATTTTATTTTATATTTTCGATTTACTCTTTCCCTGAGAATCGCCCGCTTCCCGTTTGTATTAGGGATACTGCGACACCGTGTATATTACTTATAGAAAAGTAGTTATTGAGATGCTTACTTATATTATCTATAAAGAATAATTTAACATCTAACTAATCACAATTTATAATAAAACGCAAACGTTGTCATGTCCACATGAAAGTAGATCACAAAATAATGGGCAAAAGAATTCATGGGTCATGTGATCATTTTTCGTTAATACAAAACCGCATGTATGTATAATCGATCAAAAGCTTACATTTTAAGTGAACATACACGCGCGATGTTTTTAAAACAATTACTGTTAAAACATACAATAAATTTTGCATTTATTTGTACGATCGTTGTGAGTGAAAACAATTGTACTCCAATTTTTTAAATAAATTTTGGTTTCCTTTATTCGTCTCTCTGTCTCCTCTGTCCTTTTCGACCTCTTTTTCGAAATTGCTCGGAAATTTGATTCATAAATTCGCGACGTTTCGAAATACCACTTTACGATGGTGGGGGTAAAATATGATCGGGTATTGGTTTTGATTTGCCAACGCGGACCAATATGAGCGGTTTCTTCCATCTTATTTTACCAATCGCATTGTGCCACACAAACATATGTCTCGTGTCCCGTGTTCGGTTTGACGAAACGTTTGCAGGCGAGCGCATTGTTTTTTCTTACGTTGGAAAAAGATTGAAACGTGCGTTGTACCCATGCCCGATGGTTTAAGAACAGTTCGTAACTCTTTTGTCCGATCGCTTTGTTTCAAACAGCACAAAAAGGTATGCCGCCGAAATGTATTTAACACCGTTATTTGCGATTCGTACTTTTGGAGTCCCGGCTACTATAACCAAGTTTGACAAGTCCTATGCGAAACTCCACGCGATTGAAATATCACTTGCTGTGTGTTTATGAATAGTTTACATTAATAAAAAAACCTCTTCGCAAACGTTTTTCTTCTCTACCACTTACAAATCATCAATTATATTTGCATCTTTTATTCATTGTGCTATCCGGCTTAGAAGTTCTTTCGAACGACTAATGCTTTTCTTTCTATAAGGATTTCTGCAGATTTGCGAATGGAATCTCACAAATATTCTCTGCGATAATTCTAATTTACAAGGAATCTTCGGAGTTTTAACTCGTCGTTCGGAAAAAGTATGATGAAGAATTATATATAAAATCTGTCTCCCGATCCTGTTCTCTTTTATATTAATCGTGATCGTCTTCTTACAAACTCATTATACCTTATCTTATTGTACGTTTATGTTATCAGTTTATGTTTATGACAATTGTTATTGTTAGAGAATAATTATGATTTTATATGCACAAATAAGGTTAACATTCTCATCATAGCATTCCCTTTAATTTTAGATGAACCTAAACGAAAGAAGGATGTCCTTCATATGGGCATTATTGATTACTGCTGCAATTTTTATTGATACCACTAATGGGGTCGCTGTTATGAGTATCGACATTGGTAGCGAATCAATGAAAGTTGCTGTTGTGTCTGTAAGTAAATCAATTGCTCTGAGATATTCGTAAGTTTTCATAATTACGAAGCTTGTTGGTAATTGTGAATGGCATTGATTACAGCCTGGTGTTCCTATGGAAATAGCTCTTAATAAAGAATCGAAGAGGAAAACACCTGTTACAATTGCTTTCCGAAATGGGGAAAGAAGTTTTGGGGAAGATGCTCAAGTAGTAGGAATTAGGTCACCTCAAAGTAGCTTTTCATACATGTTAGATCTTTTAGGAAAGTCAATAGATAATCCAATGGTTCAGCTTTACATGAAAAGATTCCCTTACTATGATATAATTTCTGATGAAGAACGAAACACGATCGCGTTTAGGCTTAACGAAAATACTACTTATACACCGGAGGAGCTGCTTGCACAAATTTTACACAAGGGGAAGGAGTTAGCAGAAAATTCAGCTCGTCAGAAAATTAGCGAAGCGGTGATAACTGTTCCCGGATTTTTCAATCAGATCGAAAGAAGGGCTCTCGTACAAGCTGCAGAACTTGCTGGGATCAAGGTGTTGCAACTAATCAATGATTATACCGCCGTTGCATTGAATTACGGAATATTTAGAAGCAAGGAAATATCCACTACCGCTCACTACGTGATGTTTTACGATATGGGAGCGAGTAGTACAACTGCGACGCTCGTCAGTTATCAAAATATAAAAACAAAGGAGAAGGGATTTGCTGAAACTAATTCTCATGTTGGTGTTTTGGGTGTCGGTTACGATCGTACATTGGGAGGGCTGGAGGTACAACTTAGATTACGAGATTACCTAGCTAAAGAATTTGATGCTTTAAATAAAACATCAAATTTAGCGTCTAGTAATCCGAAAGCTATGGCTAAACTTTTTAAAGAAGCCGGCCGTGTTAAGAACGTGTTGAGCGCGAATACCGAACACTATGCCCAGATCGAAGGACTTATAGATGAGCATGACTTCAGGATGAAAGTAACCAGAGAAAAATTGGAACAACTTTGTTCCGATTTATTCGAGCGAGTCGCTGATCCTATTAAGATGGCTTTGCAAACATCAGGTATCCCTTTGTTTGCAGTTAAGCTGTTGCTCACAGGTTTTTGTATGTTCTTTTTAAATTCACGTCTCTTTTTCTTTTAGGTTTAACAATGGATATCGTATCTCAAGTAGTATTAGTTGGAGCAGGTACTAGAATGCCAAAGATACAGGAACAATTGAGTCAGTATTTAACAGTAGAATTATCGAAGAACATAAACACTGATGAGGCAGCTGCAATGGGTGCAGTGTACAAAGCTGCTGATCTTAGTAAAGGCTTCAAAGTGAAGAAGTTTGTTACCAAAGATGCAGTACTCTTTCCTATACAAATAATGTTTGATAGAACTGTTGATAACAAAGTAAAACAAGTAAGCCAAGTTCTAACAACGTTCTGAAACTTAGCAAACAATAAGTTCACGATGTTCTAAATACTCTGCTTTCAGATTAAAAAATCGTTGTTCGGTAAAATGAATCCTTACCCGCAAAAGAAAATAATCACATTTAACAAGTTCACGGATAATTTCCAGTTTGATATTAATTACGCCGAACTGGATTATTTGCCGCCTCATGAAGTAGCGTAAGTGTCTTCGTCATTAATGACTGACTACATTGAATTTCTTTCCTCGAGCAATGCTCTTTCAATTTCAGTGTTATTGGCAACCTACATCCATCCACCATAATGTTGTCTGGAGTTGCTGAAGCTTTAGACAAACACGCTAAGGAAGGTGCAGAAAACAAAGGAATTAAAGCTCACTTTGCTATGGACGATAGTGGGATTCTTAATTTGGTGAATGTAGAACTAGTATCCGAAAAAGCAGGTTCAGCTCCCAATGAAGAAGAGGGTACTTTCTCAATACTTGTCTCAACTATTAGTAAACTTTTTACAGGTTTGTGCTGAATGCTTTGCAAAAAATGATGCTCTAATTTCATTACCATGACTATAAAACAATTCGTATCAAGTCACTACTACTTCTTTATGTTTCGTAGCACGAATTGTATTTTCTGTTCTGGAAATGACTGGTGAAGAACAACTGAAACGTATAAAATATAGAACCATTTCTTGCAAGCATTTCTAAATACAATAATACTACTACATTTTTCTGTTACCTTTGGATTGCATGTTAAATAACTGTAAATGTGTGAGATGAACATCATTTATAAATTTCAGGCTCGGAGGATGATGATAAAGATAAGGACAAAGAGAAGGATAAGGACAAGGACAAAGACAAAGAGACGAAGCCGGAGGAACCCTTGAAGGAGGACGTGAAACCCGTTCACGAAGAACCAGAATACCCGGAGGTACCAAAAGAGGCAGAAGATAAAATGAAGAAAAAGAATGAGACTACGAGCGCGGAGGATAAAACGGCGAACAAAACTGAGAAGATCGAGAAGGAGAAGAAGTCTACAATTATAACAATCAAGGAGCCCATCAAAGCCGAAGAAATCAAGTTGGGACCGCAAATACTTTCTGGGGATAAGCTAGCCGAATCACGTGAAAAGTACAATAATATATATGCGATATGATATAGAACACAAATTTTCTGCATAATAATTATTATATCGTGAATATTGTACAATTTCAGATTACATCGTTTAGATGAATACGATTTCGAGAAAACAAGACGCGAGACAGCTTTAAACAATTTAGAAACGTTCATAATCGATGCACAGCAGAAGTTAGTATCTGAGGAGTATACAGTCGCTGCCACTCCCCCGGAGATAGAGACTATATTAAAGGCGTGTTCAGAAATATCTGAGTGGTTGTACGAAGATGGATTCACTGCGTCTGCGGAAGTGTTTGAAGAGAAACTGGCCGCGCTTCAGAAATTAACCAAGGATTTGTACGAGCGTGTCTACGAACACAGGGAACGTCCAGAAGTATTAAAACGCATGACATCTATATTGAGTGCCAGCGTAGCGTTTTTGAACAAAACGCGCAATTTAAGTGAAACGAGTGATATCTTCACTCCGATCGAGATCGAAACATTAGATAAAGTAATCAACGAGACTCAGGTGAATTATTCGCATTAAAAAAAATCACGAAATATTATCGTGGTGTATCTGTTTTTATATAGAATGTTCTTTTTTTTACAGGAATATTTTGATAATGTTCTTAAATCTTACGAGGAGACAGCACCGCATGAACCCGTGAAGTACAAAGTTCGCGAAATTGCGAATAAATTGGCAGTGCTCGACAGAGAAGTGAAGTATCTTCTGAACAAGGCGAAGATATGGAGACCGAAACAAGAGGCTGCGACGAATCAGACGGAAAGCTCAAACGCGAACACCACAGACACAAAGAAAGAAACGACAATAGAAACAGAGACGTCGGAGACCACGGTGCCAGATAACGAAGAGGCTCCATCGAGTCATGAAAGTCCCGCCCAGGACGGAGTGCACCAAGAACTTTAAAGAGACAACAACATTTATTTAAAACTGTGTGACTTTTTATTATTGACCGATTTTGCTTCGGTTGATAAGTTAGGCAATTTATTGTGTTGTAGGGCAAGTTTACAAGATGCATTTAAAGAACTTTAAATTAAATTCACGAAATTGTATTATCGTCGCTGAATGAATATTGAGGCGTTGGTCTATTATAATTAAATACGTTTGTATACAGGTTCTAAGAAACCAGTTCGTTCATTCTTCATACGGAAAAGAAATGAATTCGATATCTCGCGAAGTATTAAATAGAAAAAGAAACGAAAAACCGACCACATCGTTATTTATAATGGATTTTGTGTTTTAGGTGCCAAGCAATCTATATAACGAGTTTCGGATCAAATGGTACTGTATTTTACAGCAGGAAAATTTCTTATTTGAGTCATTATTTACAAATGACGTAAAACATAATACTTGGTCGGGCTTCATTGATTACGGATACGATATTTAATTGTGATACTTCTTGATACTATATTCTTAGACATATTACGCTATAGCTTAAAACTGATTTTTTACCAACATCTAGAAACGAGCATCATAATTACATACGTACATACGAGGCGATGTTTTTGTCAATAACAATATAATGTTTTATTCTATATTGTTTCTCACATTCCTGATTCATTAATTCTCGCTGCAAGATGCCTAACTTTTACAATACGTACGCTTCACTGTACCGGCAATGCAATTCATTTCAAAGCATGATGATTGTATTTCGAATTTTATAACTGTTTAATGTATACTATTTACTGTACGGTACTAAGCGAGGTAAATTCAGTTTTCATAATGTTATTCAGGAATTCGACAATTTTTCGATTCGAACCATTCCAATGGATATGCATGTAATTTCAAGTCCTCGATTATGTTATTTATTCAATTTTGGGTGAATAAAGCAGTGTGTAAACTATTGATGAAGTAAATACTAACATAAATCAGTGCAATGTTTTTGGATTATGCAATTGCGAAAGAACGCATACACACCTTATCTTACGAAAGTCTTCCCGAATCTAGACACAATTTTTAATCCGATAAAAGAAATTTATTTCTGGATGCTTATTTATCCTACACGATTATTTAAGGCAGTAGTATTATTAATTATGTACAAATCGTATATACATACATATTATTAAGGAAATAGATATTTATATATTTGTACACGTTATTGAGATACTTTACTTTCAGCAAGTATTTGTATTCAAATTATTAGTGAATATCGGTCCAGTTACAAAAAGTTTAAAGTTGAAGAAAACTTTGATATCACCTTCAATTTAATAAACGATCATTGTACTATATATTTGGTATTTACAATAACTATAATAAATTTATAAAACATATTTCTTCTAAGTTCTCAATATTTTTTTTTGGACACGAAAAGGGGCACGGTGTTCAATACTTTTAAATACAAACTTTAACAATAAGGCCGGGATCACGTGAGCGTTAAAATTTGCTCACGTGACGTAGTGCCAGTTGCAGTTTACAGACTGCAACCGACAGTAAACTTCCTTAGTTAACCGGATTTGAGTTAAGGTTAGGATCAAACATCGGATTGCAATAAACAATTCTCAGTGTGGGTTACGCTGTATTGGTATCAGATTTGCTTTATTTACAAAATTGCGTCATGATATTGCGCCAAGTTGTTCGTACATTGTTGAAAAGGGTTACCCCTGCGATGGTAAATATTTTCCTATTGATGCGACCTACACGAGTATAGTTTTTAAAATTAATATTATTTTCAATGTGCAGTGTGCCACAAGTTTTCTATTTGAGAATCAATCGGAAACTAAACGGCCGACCGTAAATGATAAATTAAATCTCCAACCTGCAGATATTACAAAATTAACTGTCGAGTATATGATACAACAGTCGATAGCAGATTCTATGGACAATGCAACTAAAACATTAAGTGTTGCGTATATGTCAGTAATGAGAATTAGTGACGAATACAAGTTTGTATTTCATTTTTACAGTCATACAAGGATAACAACGTTCACAACAATGATTCATGTTATTTTTCAGGAGTTTGTTAAATAAACTGATTTCTTTATTAAAAGATACTCTGGAGTATCAAGTTAATGATGAACATTGGGATTTAGTGCTAGAGATGAGGTCAGAAGTACAGACTATGAAAGAGAAATTAAATGTAAAAGCAAACAGACTGACAAAGGAGGATTTCCAACATAGAAATTCAGAGAATGGAGTTCAAATTGTTCCCTGAATTTTTGTCTAATGTTTCAAGGGCTCATTTTTAACCTTTTGAAATGAATCGAAACGATGCTCTACACATGCCTAATTTTATAATTTTCTGAATTTCAGGGTGGGGATCTGTTCATATAAGTTTCTAACTATAGAATCTGATGTTAGCACTAATATTATGATATAATTTGTTTTCAGAAATTAACAGTATACATTCAATATGTACAAAGACTGGCGGTAGCAGCTTCTGATCTAAGTTATCTTTCTGGAATGGACAATTTGTATTTCTCTCTTTCTGGACAAATTGAAAATATTGCAAAAAGTGTACAACAAGAAATTGATCATATCGCAATACTTGAGGAGGAGTACAACTTTATACAAGAGAAATGCATTAGGAATGGTAAGTAAAATACCATTATCGTTCTATACACAGTTATTAATATATCACGTTTATTTTTTCAGAAAGTAAAGAGGACAATAACGAGTCTCGCCAATTACCATAACCAAACAATCTTTCCATTTGCTCAACATTTAGAACTTATAATTTACACGTTATTAATCTAATTTAATAAAATTACTTACAACAAAAAATATCAGAAATGAGAGGATCATTATTGAATTATGTACAGATCGTGTAACAGAGTCCAAGTGCTCAAGCGTCGATATGTATCGAAATAATATGTCTACCAGGAATCATTGCTAGACCAAGGGTTCTGGCTTCTGTGTGATCCTCGGACAGAAATTCAGAACAAGATCCTAATATCACATTGGCATCACGATCGGTACACAAGAACACCCCTACTAAGATCCGACCATCCGTCATTTTTATCCGTAAGTTCTTATTCAGCCATCCGTGTAGTTTCTGCCTTGCAGGAGAATCCTCTGTACTAATGGCCTAGCACAATTGTACAATCTTGTTTACAATATTAAAGCTAACGATAAATATAAAATAGTTTGAGATTTATAGTATGCCATTACAACAAAGGGATCGTTCTTTTTTTACACATTCTAAATATTTTATGATAATTTATAGTTCAGAGGTTAGAAAAACTTGCCAGTAATTCTATTTAACAAAAGATATCAAATGACGTTTACGGAATAGAAATATGTACAATAGAATTATCTGATAATAAATGTGCAATTCCATAAAATTACCTCTCCATTTTCATGAACGCAATCTTCATTAGTTACAATGTGAGAAATATTGTCCCACTTTCCTTGTCCTTCTTTCATGATTGTGTTATCGAAGATTTAAGTACTGAATAGAAATAACTTATATAAATGGTCTAACCATTGATACACGCGGTGCTAAACAATGTTCCAAACGCGATATCCATCACTCCTTGTATAGCTTACTTTTTATTTTGTTGTCACCGATGTCGCTGAATTGAAGTTTTTCCGAAGGCAGCCTACTCTCGGTGCCAAACAATTATTCGTAGCAGCGTCAAACAACAATTATTTTCCGACGAACAATGATTTCAAACGATCATACAAGCGAGCCATCAAAGGCCTTTTTTCTGTTATAACTTTGTTTACAGTTTCTAGTTTTACAGTCTGAAGGTATGTTTGGAATCTCGATCATCTGGCGGTAGGACGTCGGAACTAAATTGACTCCACCGGTGTGTTTCCTCTTCGACGATAAGTTGCTCGAAAACAGTAATTTTATTCGCATGCTTCACCGCTAGATGGCTACACCTTGTCCTGTGTCGGCGGCATTCTTGTCTGCGTTTCACGAGCTAACAAACGGTTCACGCTCGATCTTCGTAAGTAAAGTTGATTTATTTTAAATATTTTAATTCGACTGCAGAACATTCGAACGTTACTGTACCAAAATTGATCTTCGATATTCGCAAGCACAACGAAGTTACAGGCACTTCTTTACAGGTTATTAACTTTACAGGTTATTTAGGCGATGTTTCTAAGTTATTTTCTAACACGCAATTGGACCAACCGATTAACAAAGATGCCACGATGTAATAGTAAAGCTACCGAGCTTTAAAAGTAGCCAACGTATGTTACTTTATAACGATGAAAAGACGGTATTTATTTAAACCATCCTCAATTTTTATTACAACGCTTGAACGAAGAAATTGATTAAATCTTCATAATTTCAGCAATCTAAAAATTAGGCTTAGTGTTCATACATCCAAATGATGTTACACTGATCTTCAATTATACAGGGTGATACAAGTATACAGGATCCTATAAACCGGGTAAATTAAAGAACAATGAAGCCATCGCCTTATAACAGACTTAGCGAGGCACTAAGAGACACTAAGACCGCGTAATTGCGATCCACATAACCTGATGAAGAAAAAATCAAGAACAGATCCGATCTGAGAACAATTCGGGAAAATCTCCGAGTGCCGTAGGGGTTGTTTTCCCCATATCATCGCCGATAAATATCATAAGCATTTGCCCGGCGAGTTTCGTGGCACCGAGGAGCTCGTAGAATGGAAATGACCCGCGGTGTAAGGTTACAAGGGGCGTAGGGAGGGAGGGGGAGGGGGGGCTAAAAAATGGCGTTGGTCCAACTGCTCTCGCCGGTCCAGATTGTGATCTTCGCCCGGGGACGAGAAAAAGTAAGAATGTCGTAATCTCGATTCAAACATCTGTGAGAAGAGTCCTCGGGCGGGAGACCGGGGGAGGGGGCAGAGGGGTTGCGACACGTTGCTAAGAATTTGTTTCGGCTCTCGGAACCGCCGCGAGTAATTTTTACACGCCCTGCAACCCCGTGTCACGGCGCACCACCGCGAGCAGAGCTTTATTAATTGTGCTATCGCGGGGCTTCCTCGTTGAGACTTTAATTTCTCCCACGTCCCCCCGCCCCTCTCGCCCCTACCGTTTGACCAGTTTACACGAGCGTCGAATTAAACGTCGCTTATTTCAGGAAATTAACTTGGAGCCGAGCCGGTTCCGCCGCGGCGATATTAATCGGGCTCAAAATTTACCGGATTTATCAGAGAGAATTATTAATTGGCGTTACCGCGAGCAATTGAACTTTCATTAATAAAATATCTACGGTTCAATTTGCCCGATACGGGCACGGATTTGTAATCGCGGAGGAACGATTATTATTGCAAATGCAGCGTGTGCTGCTCTTCGCCCGTCACCCGTCCGTCCGTTGTCACGTTAACAAATACAGCAATGTCTCCCTTACTGACGCTCAGATTTTGCATAAAAACGGTCTATTTGGGAAGAGGAGATACGATTGTTCGAGCCTTGTAGCTTGTTTTTTTATAATTGTTGACAATTCGTACCATAGATTGGAGAACACGCAAGGGTTACTATAAACTGCTGTAACTTTGCGAGAAAAAATCGCAGCTGAGTTTCTTTTTTTTTAAATTAAAGGGGAAAGATCGAACTTCGATCTGCCGTGAACGGCATCTCGGAGAAAAATTGTCCAAAGTCCGTGCGATACGTCGAACTCGACGATATGACGTATGACGAATGATGAGCATGGCCTCGCATTTAAAGGGTTACAGTAGCGAGGTTGCGTGGAACTTAAAATACAGATACACTGTCCGAAAGTAGAGGTTTCGAGCTTTAATTTAAGAGGAAGATCATTATTCTACGATGATTTTCCGCGGAATTACCGTCACTGAAAGTTGGCCAATTTATATCCATTTTTCTATGCCATGCTCGTGTCACGTGGCCACATTTAAAGGGTTACAGTGGCGACGGTGCATCAAACTTAAAATCGAGGACAACTATCTTGAAGTAGAGGTTCCAAGCTTTAATTTAAGAGGAAGATCATTATTCTACGATGATTTTCCGCGGAATTACCGTCACTGAAAGTTGGCCAATTTATATCCATTTTTCTATGCCATGCTCGTGTCACGTGGCCACATTTAAAGGGTTACAGTGGCGACGGTGCATCAAACTTAAAATCGAGGACAACTATCTTGAAGTAGAGGTTCCAAGCTTTAATTTAAGAGGAAGATCATTATTCTACGATGATTTTCCGCGGAATTACCGTCACTGAAAGTTGGCCAATTTATATCCATTTTTCTATGCCATGCTCGTGTCACGTGGCCACATTTAAAGGGTTACAGTGGCGACGGTGCATCAAACTTAAAATCGAGGACAACTATCTTGAAGTAGAGGTTCCAAGCTTTAATTTAAGAGGAAGATCATTATTCTACGATGATTTTCCGCGGAATTACCGTCACTGAAAGTTGGCCAATTTATATCCATTTTTCTATGCCATGCTCGTGTCACGTGGCCACATTTAAAGGGTTACAGTGGCGACGGTGCATCAAACTTAAAATCGAGGACAACTATCTTGAAGTAGAGGTTCCAAGCTTTAATTTAAGAGGAAGATCATTATTCTACGATGATTTTCCGCGGAATTACCGTCACTGAAAGTTGGCCAATTTATATCCATTTTTCTATGCCATGCTCGTGTCACGTGGCCACATTTAAAGGGTTACAGTGGCGACGGTGCATCAAACTTAAAATCGAGGACAACTATCTTGAAGTAGAGGTTCCAAGCTTTAATTTAAGAGGAAGATCATTATTCTACGATGATTTTCCGCGGAATTACCGTCACTGAAAGTTGGCCAATTTATATCCATTTTTCTATGCCATGCTCGTGTCACGTGGCCACATTTAAAGGGTTACAGTGGCGACGGTGCATCAAACTTAAAATCGAGGACAACTATCTTGAAGTAGAGGTTCCAAGCTTTAATTTAAGAGGAAGATCATTATTCTACGATGATTTTCCGCGGAATTACCGTCACTGAAAGTTGGCCAATTTATATCCATTTTTCTATGCCATGCTCGTGTCACGTGGCCACATTTAAAGGGTTACAGTGGCGACGGTGCATCAAACTTAAAATCGAGGACAACTATCTTGAAGTAGAGGTTCCAAGCTTTAATTTAAGAGGAAGATCATTATTCTACGATGATTTTCCGCGGAGTTGTCGTCACTGAAAGTTGGCCAATTTATATCAATTTTTCTATGCTATGCTCGTGTCACGTGTCCTCCGAATATGACGAACGTGGCCTCGCATTTAAAGGGTTACAGTGGCGAGGTTGCGTGGAACTTAAAATCCAGACACACTGTCCGAAAGTAGAGGTTTCGAGCTCTAATTTAAGAAAAGAGTCATCGTCCCGAGGTGATCTTTCGCGGAGTTATCGTCGCTCGAATTTGTCTTCTATTAGAACTCGATATCTCGCTTCCAAGTACAGTAATGTCTCTTTAATTGTGCGCTCAGATTGTGCACAAAAGTAAAAATGAATTCGCAAGGATCGAATAACTGTATCTTCTCTACCTAAATTGTCCATTTTCGTAGACAGTCTGAGCGTCAATTAGAGAGACGTTACCGTAGCTTGTAATTGCTGGATGGCGACGCTCTCGTTGCGATCGCTCGCGTCTTCGGAGATAATCGGGGCGCAATGCAAAAAAAATTCAGATAAAGGAACAATAACTAATTATAAAATAATAAACGAGAAGATGAAACGTAAAGAATAGAATCGATTTGACGCGGCGGTATCGACAGAAAATCCGCCTCGGATTCGTTCCAGCCGAGGATTCAGCGAAATGCTGAAAAATCGACGCTCGAAATCGACGCTTTCCCGACGCGAGCTTTCACTCCGAACTTTCAGCCGCCCTTTGTTTCGCCTATCGTTAATCAATCGAACTTCGCGCGACTCAAAAATCGCGGCCACTCGGCCGCGGGCCAAAAATCGCAGCTCGCCGAAATTATTCCGCGTCCTCCCCTCCCGACAACTCATTGTCACCGGAAACAGCTCGTCCCGGAGCTTTCGCGGCTCACCGAAATCACAAAGCTGCCATCGCAACAGCGACGCGTGCACGATTCACCGAGCTCTTCGTTACGACAAAAGGCCGGTTTACGCCGCGGCGTTCTTACAATTTCCGCGGGCAGCGAAAAACACGTTGACTGTTCGGTGACAGGCAATTATGACGACCGACATTGTTGTCCGCGGTGTCCCCGGAAACATTATTGCACTATTTATCGGCGCACAATGGGGGCCCGGGCGTCCGGCCCTCTCGTTCGGATTCCCGGCGGTCCAATACTTTCCGGGCCACCCCGTGTATAGAAGCAGCTTTTCAAACGTTCCATAATAGCTTCAATATGTTTGCCGCATTAACAATACACAATGCGAGGGCACGGTGCGCTGGCGAAGGGTGGAGGGAGGGGGAGGGGATGCTCGCGTTCTCCAACTAATAATCAACGAAACCGCAACGGCAACGAGTTCTCGAGCGTCATCAAAATCCGAATTACACCGGAACAATCGGTCGCGCGGTCTGCGCCCGGGCTTTTCGCGGGGGTCCGCGGGGCTCGGGAGGGCGGGGAGGGCCGGTTCATTTCGGCCCGCGTATCGCGGACGTATTAGAATTAATCTCGAATTAATTTTGGTAACGGTGTTCCGTTCTTGAATGTCGATAGCCCGCGAATTATCATAAAAGCTTTTATCGGTTGTCCATTGTTGCCCGAATATACTCGCTATTCGCTGGAAAAAGAGAAAGAGAGAGAGAGAGGGAGAGAAAGAGAGAGGGGGTTCGGCTGTTTTGAAACTGTGCGCGCGTATTTCCCTCGT